CGTCGTACATTTTTAGAAACTCGTATAAATATTTCTCATTTTCGTAAATTTACGAATACGAGTAAAAATGAAATTTTTATGGAACCCCGAATGATGCGAGAATGATTAAAAATACTTCGCATAATGTTACTGTAATTATATCGAGTTCAGAAATTTCTATGTAAAAATTTCGAATTCTTTGGACCAAGTAGGAATTCCCTTTTAATTATACCACTTGTTTCCTCAATAATCTATCTCCAATTTCTGTTCGCTACTGTGTTTCCTAATCGATCACTGAAAGTCGATAAATAATTTATCGATTGCTTACTTTACTTTCACTATAGTTCGATATTAGATATTTACTCGTATCCATTACGACTCATCATTTTTTCTGGATCGCTATTGATCCGACTTGTAGAAATAATGAAACAATTCCATTCGTCCTGTTTGAAGATTCTTAAGAGAAGATCATCTTGAAATTCTCGAAACACCCTTTACAAGAATCCCCCTTGGAATCTCGCGATTTTTCCTTCGACCCACTTGTCAAGATAACGTTGCCAAGTGGCTGAAAGCTGGCCACAAACTAATCAACGCCTTTTCACGACCCTCTTCAAGACCAACTGGCAGAATGCTGGAAGCTGGTCGCGGATGAAAAGCCTCGGCGCGCGCCTTGTTCGCGGAAATGAATAAGCGCACGAATCTTGACGCGCTTATTACCCTCTCCTCCTCCTTCCACGCTTCGCCGGAAACGAGTTGCTCTATAAACCGAGGCGAATAGCAACCTCGTAACCTTCGAAACGAGTAATAATAACTTTTCCGAAAAATAAAAGCAGGAAAATTTTTATTTCTCCAGGAGAACAATAAACGACCGTGTTTCCCTCTTCTCGTCCAATGTTTCAGTCACTTCTTGTACACCACTCGCACCCTCATACCATCGACGACTTTTCCGATATAAAGAAAGAAAAAAAAGAAGAAGAAGAAGCGTAACCCTCTTTTCAGCCCGCGTTTTGTGCCAGTTTCAAACTGGATTTCGTGCTGTGTCTCGCACAACTGGTCTCGAGTGCTCTTCCTCTAGCACCCATACACCCCCTCTGTGCCGCACCCCTCTGAGAGGGTGATCTAGTTGCGCTCGCGCGAGAATTGCCACTCGTGACTTTGCATACGTTGCCGCTAACGCTGCGAAAAATTCAGCTGCCGCCGTGCTCGGCGCGCTCCCGCTTGTCGCCGCTCGAATCAGCTCGAAATTTTTCATCCTACCGAAACCGAAACAGTTCACCACGGAGAGAAGAGGGTAACCAGTTGGTTGCGCGTTAATAAAACGGAATCGTTCGAACAGAATCGTCTGTTTAGACGGTTCGAACGATTTTATACGTCCGCGATAAAGCTCGATTTTCGACTGGAGAAGCGGGAAAACGATAAAACTGTTCGTGCTTGCGGCTCTGTATCGCCTCGAAGATCACGGTCCGTTGATTCAATAAACTTGAATAGCTTTCCATTCGATTCGATTCGATTCGATTCGATTCGATTCTTCGGAATACAGGCTGCTTCAATCATTATCCATTTCTCAAATTCGAATGGGAAAAATAAAATATTTTGCAAACTTCCAAGTAGCATCGATAGCACATTAATTTCGCAAGGTGGCATGGCGAGTGAAAAGTTTAAATTAGCAAAATAAACCGTCGTCTGGCGATTCTCTTTTTCTCGTTCTCGGAATGAAATTGGCAAAGTGGAAGCACGAAAACGCAATTTACGATACATCGAAGAAGATTTCGAGGGGCAGAGGGTGGTACAGCAACGATACTGGTACTCGTTTCAAGGCGAGCGTAAACGCGCTCGTACGGCAAGCAAACAGCAGTCTGCACACAGAGCAATATTAATTGCTCGCGGATCGACCGCACGATTCTGATCCTGCAATTACGCGCGTTCGCCTCGTCTCCGGAACCGCAGCAGCTCGTCTCGACGGCCCTCGGGAATCGTTAACCATCTCGAAACTTTGCCCATTCGCGAAACTGCTTCGAGCCCTGCTCTTCCTACCCTCCCTTCTCTTCCTCTTCTTCCTCCTCTTCCACAATCGTTCGGCCGCCCACTCAATTTTCCTTTCCTTCTCCCTTGCAAACTGCCAGCAACCTTGCTCTACCATGCTTTCGTGAAAAACACCGAGATCTTCTGATTACACAGCCAACAAAACGATATACTACTATATTTTGCTGTTTCATTTACCCTCTGCTCATCCTGGACGATTGCCTTTTCCATTCCTCAAGTTTGCAAATAAATTTACCACTTCTTCATGATAGAGACTTGAATACTTTTTGCAACAAGCCTCGATACTCCTCTTTTCACTTGAATCCAATCTGGCGAGAATTCGAGAAATCTTTCCTTCGACCTTTCTGGGGGTAGGAAAAATCGGGAAATTCAAAAGGAAAGCTTCCGGGTGCGAGGTTGCGTTTAGATAAAAATCAAATATCTCGCGCTACTCGAGAGGTTGGCCGAGTTCTATTATCATTTTAGTTTCTAGCTTTAGGGGGGGTTGAAATCGCCGGGAAAAGAGAGAAAACTCGGAGCGAATCGCGGCCGGTCAATTACGGGCTGCAGGCGTAAATAAAAAGCAAATACGCGAAACCATTTACTCGATCCTCTCCGTTCCGATAATCCTGTTTGCCCGGGCGCGAATATTATCGCGCGTTCAAGTGGCACGCTGATCCAGTTGCTCCCCGAGTTTTCCAACTATTAAACCGAAGCAACTGATTGAAAAAGGATCCGTCCGAAAAAGAACATTTTATTTACGCGAAAATTGCTGACGTCCAAGGAAACAAGAAGAATGTGTTCGTTGAGTAAAATATTATTCGAGTGTGTTTTATGCGATACGAGAATCGAGTTTACCGGGTTCGTACCAGGGGATGTTCGATAGTCGGGGGTATATGAGGAGGGTGGCGAAGGAGACGAGCAAGGGTGGTGATATTTCGAAAATCGAATTCTCCTGGTCGGCAGCGTAACGAATGCAATTTAAGGCAGCGTCGCTCGAAAGTTACGGCATAGAGAATCCTCTGCAATCAACTCATTACGGACTTTGCTAAATCAATTCTTCCCGCTACTTCGCGAATTGAACTTACCACCCCCGCCTCGGCTCCGTTCCCCTTCTCCCATGGAATCGAGGAAACTCCGGCGAGAATCGCGGATTTTTCACGGAGAACTCCGATCGTGGAAACTGAAAACTTTCCATTGTCGGAAAGGAAACGTTCCTTTGCCAAGGATTTGCCTTTCCTACCTCCACAATTTTTCCGACATCGTTTCGATGATTGTTCGAGAAGTTGAGTGAGAAATTAATAAAAATTAGACGATCAAGAGGAAATTCTAATAATTTATAAAAAAGCAGAAACTCGTATGTTTCGCAAGATTCTGAAACTCTTTTTCTCGACAGGCTGGTATAGAACAGTGAGAACCCGGGACAAAGGATGGTGTTTATCGAGCGAGGCAGGTTGCACAGGGGCTGCGTTTCATCGAAGTTCCTTCAAAGGGTCGAACTTGGTCGCGTAATTTCCCCCGTCTAAGGCAGAGGGATGGGTCTTACCCTCTGACGATCCCTCCTTGCCAATTTCACGTGTCCTTCGCTCCCGAAATTTCGCCTGCCTCGGACCTAATGAGGACACGAACCTCACCACCATCTGAATCGTCTCGGCTCAGCTTTGAGACGACAAGAATCGACTGCTTCCGCGTTCCAACCTTCCCTTTGGCCCTTTATAGTTGTTCTCCTTTATGCTTACACGAAATGGGTGGCAGGGATTATTTGATGAACGATATGATTTCACCAGAGGCAACCCTTTGTTTCGGTACACCCGAAATCGACGCCTTCTAATTATTTCTAGTAGTACAACTCAATCGTTACCGAGACCCTTCGATGTTTTAATTCTCTAATCATCGAACAATTCTGGTAAGCGACGATACAAAACCTATCGATGTCCTCTAACGATTCAAAAATATCGATTCACTCGCGAATTGACACGTCCAGGTGGAGAACAAAACCAGTGTTCGAGACAAGGGGTGGGTGGAGGAAACAAAATAGCAGACCGATCGAAAAACGGCCTGGTTTCATTGAGCTGTGCACAGTTGGGAACAGAAAGGATGAGAAAACAATTAAAAAGAAAAAAAACAGGCGCGGGGGTGAAGCGCTTTGAAATCGAATTCAAAAAGCGTCGAGACGACGAGAAACGAAGCGTCGAAGCGGATCGTTTGCCTTTCGTCTATCTCGCCTCTCTGTCCTCTCGTCCACGGCTATTACGTAACGCGAATTAAGACGCTCCGACGGCCGACGAAATTACGTCTGGGAATTGTGGCCTTTGTGGAAATTTTCCTTCCAAACGTCGAATGAACGCGCCTTCGCGTTTCCACGAAACTTGAAACGAACGTTTTGTCGGAAGCACACACTTAGACGGTTTAATTGGCACCTCGTTTGATTAGACACCGATAGAATTGAATAATTCGATAAAAGTAGAAGGTGTAACCTAAACCACCGTAACTCGAAGCTTATGTCTGTACCGAAAGGATTATAGAGGTTGACGTTATGGAAATATTGATAATGGCGTGTAAATTGTAATGTAAATTTAACGTTGTACTAGCTTAAACCCTATGAGATCATTAGAAAATTAAGACAAAATATTTGTCCTATTATTCTATGATGAAATTGGGTGTTACCTCAAAGTTACACCACAGGGGATTAACGTGTCGCTATTCTGATGGTCGTCACTGATTAAAGTCATGAATTTAATATAACCAAGTCAATCCTCCCGGTGGTAAGTATGAATTTTTAATTTAATGGTATATTAAAAAATATGGTATTTCATCGTTCGCGATAGAAAGACCTCTAAATCATTTTACATTTGATCAATTTATCAAAAGTAAATTTTACGTTCATCTTTCAACCCTGGAATAAGGGTAACCGAGTATAAAACCGCTGAACGATTTATCACAGTCGTTGTTTCTTCGCGAGCAAACATACTGATATCATTTTTTAACGTGATTTCCAGTTTCCCGCAAGAAGTTGAAGCTCGTTAATCGACCCACTGTAGCCTGTTTCCCGTGGAACGCGCTTAATAGGGTCCCTCCTGAAATACTGTCGGATTGTTATTCAATTTTCGAGCAAGCCAGCATCCAAGGTAAGCGGTTTTCCTCCAACTTTTTCGAATCCGATATTACGCTTGATCTTTGTAACGAGGCTCGAACGCGGAACCCTCTTAAATCGATTCGCTAGGAAGAGCTTTTATAAGTCCTTCCTCGAACGAAAGACGGGATCGAACGAAGGAAAACGATAGAAAGCACGGAATGAAAAGCGTGTTTAAATAATATTTCCATCGAGAGGGTCTGTTTTCGTTTCTCACCCCTCGTTCTCTTGCTCGTTTCTTGACTTTGATAAAACGCGGAGAAGTTCAGGGAACGTTTCCACCATTAACGAAAGACTCTCGATTGTTTTATTGTCCCTTCGAACAACTCGGGGAAAATGGTAAATGGAAAAGCAATTGTTCGTTTGTGTCTGTACAAATACCTTGACAGACAATTTCGAAACTTTCCGACTTTCATCGTTTATCATTTCTATTTTATTAAGAATACTCTTTCAAATATAAAAATATAAAGGGAATTCATTGCACGCGTCTGTATAATGAAAGAGGATGTTCTCACAGAGGAGGTGCCTTTTAACATGGGAGGGTTAAAAGGTTGCCAGAAAACATGGGCAAAAAGGAATCCTCTATTCCCTCTATCCTCTGACCGAGATAAACGCGGCCCACGCTCGGTGGTTCGTGCAATTTTAAAGAATCTTTGATTTTCGACAACGACAACGAAAGCGTCGCGGTGAATGTTTAAGCGGTGCCAGTCACCGAGACCGACGCGACGGTAATGAAAGCAACGTTTGATCATCGACCACGAAATAATCGACTTACCGTGTGCCGCATCTGCTCGCGTTATATTCCCTCGACGTCCTCCTCCTCCTCCTCGTCCTCTTCCTCTCCGTCTGTCTACGAAAGAAAACACTCGCGAACTGTCCTCACTTAAAACGAGACGACATTTCCACCCTGTCTTCTCCCTTCACGACAGAACAGGGTACTCTCGAGTGCCTCTGTAACGAAGAAACGAAAACAAAACTCCATGTAGCAAGCTTTTTCATAACCATCAGTTAACTTTGTCACGAGGTGGTCGTACAATTTTTCAATACAACACGAGAGAAAATTTTCAACAAAGTTTACAAAAGAATTTGCACATTTAGAGGGTTGTTTCGTGCTCGATAGGGAACTATCGTCGTTTCGTCGAAAACACGGATAAACGGCGTCGGTGTTCTCGCGATGGCGTGGCGCCGTTCGCGATCGGACCGAACGGACGAGCGGAGCCACCCCCGACGACGCGCCACGCTCCAAGTCCCGCGTCAGACTGCAGGGTGTCACCTTCGGTGTATGCCTCGAACCTCCGCCAACTCCGCCGTCACCGGTCTGTATCGCGAACCGTGAGTTGCGCATGCCCTCGCAAGTCCACCCTCGACACAATTCGGGGGTGGTCGGTCGGTTACGTTGGCCTGTGTACGTTCCTCCGCTTGTATGGCCGCGCCTGGCTGTGTTCCCTTCGGGAAGGGGTAGGGAGGGTGTGATCGTCCGCGTCCCTCCCTCCTCGCCCCTCGTCGCCTCTGTACGAGAAGGGGTGTCTGTCGGTACGTCGCTGCCACGTTCTGGGTGACGGGGTTCCATCGCGCGGATCGTGTGTGGCCGCTATGGGGCTTGTTTCTTCTTCTTCTTTTTTTTTTTTCCTATTCTTTTTCTTTTTATGGGTCGCTCGTGTTTCGCGAGCTTCTTCGCTTCTCGCTTTGCCGCGCTTCCGAGGACAGACGGGGTGAGGGTTGATTTTTAAGAGTTGCCTGTTCTTCCTTGTTCGAGGTATCGTTTACGCGGTACGCGGTAAAAGTAAAATATGCGAGGTGTTTTTATTTAATTTTCCTACTCTATTTTCATTTTCGAAAACTTTATTTAAAAATTTATGTACGAAAGTTTCGTCGAAACACCCTGGCTGTAAGTAAGAATTGACCCAGATTACAGTGATCAGCTGTACGGAGTTAAAATCAATCAATGTAACGAGCAATTAGCTTCCCTTTAATCGAGAAAATTTCCCGCCGACCGATGGAGAATGCTCGCGCGTGTCCCGTTTCAGCAACCGGATTCATTAGTCGGGAGTTAGGGTAAGTCGGGTCGGGGAAGGTCGTTTCTTAAACGCGATATATCGATCGAAAGCAGAGGAGAAACAATTTGGCTGACGTTGCATAACATTCGCGTGGTAATCCGTTATTGATTCGAGACAGCCCGCTAGCACGAATATTATTATCCGCGGGTAACAACACACTCCACCGCGATCGACCGTCAGCCCCGAACCGGAAGTAATCTTCGTTTTAACAGACCGGTCGTAACGTCGAACCCCACAGAGAAGGAGAACGAACGAATACTGTAGATTTTGAAAGACACGTCTCTTATTTTATTAAAAAAAAAGAAAAAAAAGAAGTAGTCTATGATGGAGTGCTGATAGCGAAGGTGTTAACGTCCTAATTGCAGCATCGAATCGATAACGACAGTAGTAACGATTGTAATGGTAGCTTTAACATCTTCATAAATTTCTATTACAAAAAGAAAAGCACCCTCTATCCGAGCCCCTTATTCCGTACCGGTCGTGACACTAAATATGCCCGTGTTAGTACGATAGGGTGCAAATGACAAGGGTTTAAGGTATAGCCGTTCGTAACGCGGCCCTAAAGTGCCTTCAAAACGTTACCGAGTCGACATAAAATCCATACGACGCGTGCTCTCCTTCTTAAGCCAGCTATCGCTGTCTTTAACCTGCTCTACGACCTGACAGTCGAACCTACCCCCTCGATCCTCGATTTTTCAAAAAAAAAGAAATACAATTTCCCTCCTTCCAAATAAATTGACAAATTTTAATTTAGGAGAAGAATCAAAGTTTCAAAAGCGATGAAATTCGCAGCACCGCATGAAAGAGAAGCTGCTTGAATGCAATGAAAAGAGCCTATTCCATCGGCCACCAAAATCCTCGTCGACCAGCATTTCCATCGCGTTCGATCGAGCTATTCTTCGACAGGCTGGCAATAAATACCGCGCTCGTCATTGTCTCATTGCGTGCTAATTAAAACGCGGCTAATTGTAACGCCGTGCACACTGGACAACCGCGACAATACGTAGATTCCTACCTCGATGTTATTTAATCTAAACAGGCGGACGTCGTTTCAGCGAGCTCGTCTCACATGCTTTGCAAACGTGACCCAAAAAGTGGAAATTGAGAAAATTGCTTTGCCAGAAATATTTCGGTTCCCAGGGAAAATTTGTTCCCATTTTCCAGCTGCTAATGAAAGCAATTAAATTTCTATATTTTCGGTATCGTTGTTATCGTGTATTATACCCGTCGGTACAAGCTTTGCTCATTTATTATTTAGCACTCTGACTATTACCAGTGTCATTAGTAAATGGCTCAAATATATAATAGTATGCAACCGAATAATTAAAGTTTCTGGATGTCTGACCAAAGTGTTAAATACTGAACGCTACTGAAATTTGCAAATCGAGTTTCCATAATTTACGAATATTCAAGTTCCGAAATTTTCACCTGGACAAATTTCAGTATATCGCATACGATTGCTCAAAGATCGTCGACATTCGATCGCAATGAAACGGACACCGTCCGTATCTCGCGTCCCACGTGCACAGATTCGACTCTCGGCACGCGCGAATCCTGTCTCCGAGCTTCTAGATCACCTGTATCGAGGTGTACGTGTCCGGAATCATTAGCGTCGGGTCTGTCAACCAGGAATCTTCGGTATTACGTCCCGCAAGAACGTAGGTTATCAAACCATCCCTCTCGTCACGCTTAAAATACGCCAAGCAGCTGCATTACACGCGTGCTTCATCAATTCACGCCTTCCGTCTCTTCTCCTATCATTTACCCCGATTATCGTCATTATTGACACTAAATCACCCGTCTAGATCCACCCTACCCATTAACCTTATCCCGATTCAAATTCACTTCGACAGTATAAAAGTAAATAATAAAAATAATTTATCAAGGCGTCACACGGAACGAAAGGGTTGAACACAGAAGTCGAAGTTGCACGTTTCTTTTCCAGTGTATATCGGTCGTCCTTTCGACTTTCATTTTACGATCACGTAGCGTTGCGATCGTTCTATATATTCAAGTACAGAACTGCTCTCTTTTTACCGATCGTTTCGTCCATCGGGGATTAGAAGAGTCTCGTGCCAGAATTCCGGAATAAAAAGGGCGACACGGGGTGGCCGTAGGATACCCTCGACGGTGCTGTAACTGCGCGAATCCTCCAGAGTATCCTTAGGCTTGCGTTATCTGCTCACCCCAGGAACCACCGCCCCCTTTTGTCCATCTCGCTGAACCCCCTATTCTGTGCCAGATTCAATCGAGCCTGGAATCTCGTTGCGCAGGAAATCGTCCTATGCAACGGTTCGCCCTTTTGGGACCCTACCTTTAATTTTATGTACGCTTTCCGATCCTCTTCCTCCTCTTTTTTTCCTCTTTCTTTTTTCCGTGGAAACACTCGATGCGGATATTTCGTTAATTTTTTTTTTTTCTTTTTTTTTCATCGCACACGGTTGAAAGAAACCGAATTTTTATTTAGGGGCGAAAGATTAATGTACAGCGATACTTTGTCGAGAATAAGGATAATTGGAGGTGGATTTTTCTTGAAATTGAAAACAAAACGTGTTTTCGCGCTTCGAGCTTTTCGAACGGGTTCTTCATCGATCAACCAGGATATATTGTGTACAGCGGAAGAAAATCATAAATAGCGTAGAGAAACGTGAACGGAAAATTAGAAGTTGCCTGTTATCGCGCAATACGTCTTCTTGTTTTCATTTCGAATCACTTTTCTCCGTCTCTTGTTGCTCTTCGTTTCGCTATCTTGTTAATCTCTCCCGCACACATCTTGAAAATAACTCGTTAACCTTCTCGACGTTAATCTGCTCCGAGTGGAGCTCCAACTCTATCGAAGGGAATCGATATAGGAAAGTTCTCTGGTCAAGAAGCAGAGTACACAGGACAAAATTAATGTACCAACTTCGTTGCTCGCCCCGTCGTAATAAAA